AGAGGACATAGTGACATTCCAGGGAAGGCCCACAGTGGCCCTGGGAGGAGCTGTCATTGCTCCAACTCCACAGAGCAGGGCATGCAGGGTGAGAAGGGCCTGAGGTCAGGAAAAAGATTGAGCAGGAGTGATAGATATGCTTGTTAACTTATGTCACCCTCTAATCAAGTCAAGCACTGCACTTAGAATCCATGATAACTCTGGTACTCAGCTTTCTTTCTTCCTAGTTCTGCTTCCCTTGTAGCAGGGATTATAGAGATGCACTGGCTTGGTTTTATGAGACAGTGTCTCATTAACTATTTTCATGCCTGTACCAACCTTAAACTTGGATCCTACATCTCTTATCTCCCAAGTAGCTGAGATTATAAGTATGATCCACTGAGCCCAGCCCTCACACTTGTTTTTCCAGTGATCAGGTGAGAAGTACTTTTGGGGCAAAGATGGGAGAAAAATCAGTTCTAGAAGAATTTGGCTCTTGCTTATGGAAGACAGTTGACTGACCAAAACTGAATACAGCCAATGTGGCTGCTGAGTTAGCAACAATTCATCAGGTCAGATCAAAGTCACCAGTGTTTTAGCTTTAGATAAGCAACTCACCCATTGAGGGCAAAGGTAAAAACAGTCTAGGGTGATTTTTGTTAGTAGTAGAAGAGTTGGCCCAGTTCCTTCCCCATCCTTACCCCTTCTACCCAGGAGCCAAGCATTTCTCTCACAGATAAGTTTTTTTTTAATTTTTTAATTTTTTTATTGTGAAAATACTGTACAGAGGAGTTACAATTACATGGGCAAGATAATGAGTACATTTCTTATCAAGCATTGTAGCCTTCTCCTTTGTTTCCCCTTCCTATCCTTTCCCATCCTCCTCCTACCCCCCCTCCCCACGAAAGTTGTAAAGTTCGTTTTTGACGTAACGACTTGTACATCTCATTGTTGCAATGGGTCCACCTGTATCCCTATTTAAACGGTTTGTTTTTCCCCTTCCCCTCCACAAATTAAACTGAGATCAAATACAGTGAAAGCAGGGGTTATACTGTGGGGGAGGGCCATACAAAGCAACAAAGAAATAATCTTATAAATGTGTTAAAAACAATTGCATGAAAGAAAAAAAACATTTGAATACATATCTTAGGGTTCATTTCCTTAACATCACCTTATCTGACCTTTTCTGCTTGGTTTCCCTTATTTGCAATATCTAGTATATGAATACATTTCTTTTTTTTATTGTGAATATACTGTACAGAGAGGTTACAACTACATGGGCAAGATAATGAGTACATTTCCTATCAAGCATTGTAGACTCCTCCTTTCTTTACTCCTCACATCCCTTCCCAGCCTCCCCCGCACCCCCCCCCCACTCAATCCCCCCTCCCCCCACCAAAGTTGTAAAGTTCGTTTTCAACATGACAACTTGTACTTCTCATTGCTGCAACCGGTCCACCTGTATCCTTATTTAAACGACTTGTTTTTCGTTTTCCCCTTCCCCTCCACAAATTATACTGACATCAAATACTGTGAAAGCAGGGGTTATACTGTGGGGGAGGGACATACAAAGCAACAAAGAAATAATCTTATAAATGAGTTAGAAACACAAGCATGAAAGAAAAAAAACATTTGAATACATATCTTAGGGTTCATTTTCCTAACATCACCTTATCTGACCTTTTCTGCTTGACTCATACATATACTAGATATTGCAAATAAGGGAAACCATGGGACCTATGTTTCTTTGGCCTTGGCTTACTTCACTTAATATAATTTTTTCCAAGTCTTTCCATTTCCTAACAAATGGGGCAATGTCATTCTTTCTGATGGAGGCATAGAATTCCATTGTGTATATATACCACATTTTCTTGATCCATTCATCTACTGAGGGGCATCTGGGTTGGTTCCATATCTTAGCTATGGTAAATAATGCTGCGATAAACATAGTTGTGCTGGTAGCTTTAGTGTGATCTTGTTTGTAACCATTTGGGTAAATGCCCAAAAGTGGGACTGCTGGGTCATAGGGGAGCTCTATGTGGAGTCTTTTGAGGAACCTCCATACTACTTTCCAAAGTGGTTGAACAAGTTTACACTCCCACCAACAATGAAGTAAGGTTCCCTTCTGTCCACATCCCCTCCAGCATCTGTTGTTATTAGAGTTCTTGATTTTTGCCATTCTAACTGGAGTGAGGTGGTATCTCAATGTTGTTTTGATTTGCACTTCTTTTATGGCTAGGGAGGTTGGCCATCCTTCTTTCTTCTTCAGAGAAGTTTCTCTTTAAGTCTTTCGCCCACTTATTTATTGGGCAGTTGTTTCTTTGAGGATTTGTTGTTGGGGGATTTAAGTTTTTGAGTTCCAAGTATATTTTAGATATGAGACCCTTGTCCGTTGTATGGCTAGTGAAGATCTTCTCCCAATCCGTGGGCTTTCTATTGATCTTGCTAGCTATGTCGTTTGCCATGCAGAAGCTCTGCAACTTCATGCAATCCCATTAGTCCAACCTTTCTTTGGTTTGTTCTCACAGGTAAGTTTTATGCATTAACAATTACCCTGAAACACAAACTGAAGAGTTTCTCTGAGCAAAAAAAGTAATTCCATTCTCCTCTGACTTTTTTTCTTCTAAGGACAGGTTAGCTTGAATCTGCAAGCTGCCATCTCTGCAGACATATTCTAAGCTGACCTCTTGACAATGTCATCTTAGAGATGAATTGAAGCCTCAGACTAGACAGGGATATAAAACAAACAAACAAACACCAACAACAAAAAAACCAAAAGCACTTGCAGAACTTGGTGTCTCCCCATATTATCACGCTGAGTTTTGGACAAGTCTTTCAAATGTTAAGTGTTTTAAATGTCCCCTAAGCTAATTTACCTTTCTGTCTTCTTCAGGGATGGTGAGGGAAGGTTAATGAGAAGATGGCAGCTGCTTTGATCTCCTGAGGAGAGACGTGTTTGAATATCTCACACAGTGACCAGGTAGAGGCAAGATTTTAGAAGGAGAAATGACCCATCATTAACACGCTCATCTGTACACCGGAGTTGGCTGTTATTCCAGGCCAGTCCTATTTATGGACTTGTTGTTCTGAAGAGAAAGAGAGACTCTGCTGTGTTTCCAGCATATCTGGTCACTTCCGTCCCTGGCAGCCAACCTTATGGTGCCTTCGGGATTACAGATCAAATAATCTTCCACCACCTCTTCTTCTTCTTGGTTTGATCTTTGCTTAACCTCACCTCACTCAATTTTTATTGCTTCCTACTTTTTCCTCTTTTATTGTGGCAATTCCTTCTGATGTTTTCCTAACATACCAGGCTCTCTCCCTATCCTTTCACCTCCCCCGACTTTTGTAACAGAATTTACTGAATGTTCTTTTTCTTCAGAACTCTCTATCTGTTTCTGTTTTTGATACCAGTACTAGTGCTTGAACTCAGGATCTGGGTGCTGACCCTGAGCTTTTGTGCTCAAGGCTAGCGCTCTATCACCTGAGCCACAGCTCCACTTCTGGCTCTTGGTAGTTCATGGGAGACATGATTCTCTCATGGACTTTCCTGCCTGGGCTGGCTTTGAACCTTGATCCTCACATCTCAGCCTCCTGAATAACTGGGATTACTGGCATAAACCACAGACTCCTGGCTGTATTCTTTTCTTCCATCTTCCCAATGTTACCATGCGGTCAGTTGCCATGACCTGTCAGGTCTGAGCAGAGCTTTGTGTCCCTGAGGAAACTTTGTGTGTTTTCCTAGCCTGGTAGAGAGGGCCTTGAACAGTCTTCTCTCATCATGTGCTCAACTTTTCCTAGAGCTCCCTGAGCATCCATCCTCCTCTCGCTGCAGACCAGAGGTTGTCAATCTCCACAGTGCTCTAAAAGCACCTTGGGGTAGAATCTAGGGAACAGCACTTATAAAGTTTTCTAGGTGCTGCTGGGACCTCTGTCCCTTTGAAAACCCCTGTACTAGGTTGTCATATCCTGAGGGCATGGGTTGTGACCACACCTACAATGCTGGCTCACTGTTGCATGGAAGAGTTTATGGAATGAATGAATGTAGCCTTAAATGTGCAGGTCCCAACTTTGGTGGCCAGACTGCTGTTGGAAGACCAGCCTCTTGGGAACCTGAGGTTCTACAATTATCTTCCATAGAAAGGAATTAAGTGAAAATGAAATCTATCGAGTACTTTTATTGCCTTGTCTTCATGAGTCCTTATCTTTGGCTCATTCTGTTCACTAATATGGAAGCTTATTTAGAAAGTCAGCTTATGATAAGGAGGAAGAAGAAAGGACAGTAAAGGCCTTGCAGGGTAGTCTTACTTGGCAGCAGTGTTTGATAAACATCCACTTGCTACTCTCCAGACCCTCTGATTGGATCTTCTTGACATTTGATGAAGTTTATCTGAAGGGCTTTGAAATCACAGAGAAGCTTTTGAAAATTTCTGCCCATGCTCCTCCTCATAAGACTAAAAAGATATTTATTTACTTACTTATTTAGTGAGTCTCAAGGCTGGAACTCAGGGCCTGGGTCCTGTCCCTGAGTTTTCATGCTCAAGCAAGTGCTCTACCACTTGAGCCATGGCTCCACTTCCAGCTTTTGGTGGTTAATTGGAGATAAGAGTTCCATGGACTTTGCTACTTGTGCTGGCTTTGAACCATGATCCTCAGATCTCAGCCACCTGAGTTTTAACTAGGATTACAAGCCTGAGCCACCAGTGCCTGGCTTCCAAAAAGTCTTTATGACCCTAGCATGGGCTTGGGGACAGCCAGCCGCTGTCCCTGTGGGCCAGGACAAGACCTGGGTGGGAAGTCCGGGAACTTGGAACTCTAAGGATAGAGAATGACTGACCTGTCTCTTCACCTACCTTCTGAGATCTTCCAGAGTGGAGGCCACCATGTCTGTTTCTATTTCTTTTGGGCCTGGCACAATTTCTAACACCAATTCATAACATCAAAGATCAAGACAAATTCTGGACCTTTGGTTAATTAGGCTCCAATGAGTTTTAAGCGATAGCAAACCAACTCGTGACCACTGAAGTATAAAATAATTTATTGAAGCAATTGTAGTAGTTTGGAAAGCCAAAACCAACATTGGGAAAGGAAACCCTCACCCAGCAGAGGATCTCAGGAAGGCTGTCCCCATGGCCCCTCTAGGGACCACTGACCCTTGACCTCAGCATCCTGGCTACCACTGCCTCTGCTTCTCTGGTTTGTCTTGGGTTTGTTCTCTCTTCCTGCAGGTGAGCTGTGACAGGCAGTAAGCATGAATGACTGGTGGTTCCCAAAAGTTCTGTGTCCTCCAAGCTCATGTGATAGACTCCATCCAAAAGAAGGACACTGGCTAGGCCAGGATGAACAGTTGGGTCTGCAGTGGTACACCTCAGGGCTGGGCCTGTTAGCCCTGGCATCAGGAAGTGTCTTTGAGGAATAGTACCTTTGTTCCCATCACAGGATCCATCGCTGGTATCTGGACTTCCTGGCTCCTCACAGGCACTCTACATCTCCGTAGAGAAGCACCAACAGGCTCTGAATTTGTAGATTTCTTGAGAAGATACAATCATGTCTAAACATCCCTGCACAGACTTATTTACCCATGGCAGTCAGTCCTCATCATAGTTAGGTTGTAGAATCAGCCTATGTGCTTGTCATCTGACAGATGGATAAAGATGATGTGGTAGGTATACATAGTGGAGTCTTACTCAACTGTAAAGAAGAAGGAAGGCAGAGAAGGAAGAAGGAAGGAAGACATATTATTTTCAGGAAACTGGGTGGAACTGCTGATTTTTATGTCCAGTAAAATAACCTAGAAGGAAACTACATTTTTCAGAAAGAAAAATATCACGTATTTCCTTCAATGTGAGGACTCTTGAAAGTTGAAAGGAAACTCTTAGAAAGGAGGAAAGGCATCAAGGTGAAGGAAGAGGGGAGGACAAGGAGGGAAATAGGAGGGACCAACATCACTAAAGTAGCCATGGCTACCCATGGCTCATATCTGTAATCCTAGTTACTCAAGAGACTGAGATCTTTGAGGATCAAAGTATGACGCTAGCCTAGGCAGGAAAGTCTGTGAGACTCTTACCTCAAATTAACCTCCCAAAAGTTGCAAGTGGAGCTGTGACTCAAGTGGTAGAGTGCTAGCCTTGAGCAAAAAAGCTCAGGGACAGCGCCCATGCCATGAGTTCAAGCCCTAGGACCAGGACACATACAGAAAAAAAAAAAGTATGGTATTTTCCTGTCTGATATCACAACAAACCCCATTATTCTATAGAACATATATATATATTAATAAAACAAGAAATGTGAGAATTGTGATAGTAGAGGAATTAAACAGACAGAGGCAGCTGAGCCTCATTCATACAACACAGAATGTGGGAACCAAGGAAGATCCTGGACTCTGGCAGGCAAAGGAGAGAACAAAGTAAGTTGAGATCTGGGACCAGAGAGACTGACTGAATGGAGCAGAAGAGACTGAACAGAACTGTCAGCATGGTGCTGAGTGAGGGATACCAAGGACAGTAGGTGGGCAATGGGCTGGGGGAAGACTTCTTTACCTTCTTAGCTGCCCCCCTTCAGACCAGTGACCAGGGAGGAAAACAATGGCAGCAGCTCTTTTACAGCTCATTTTGAAGGGGACCGCTTCCTGTGGCAGACCTTGCAGGCTATCTATACAAGCTGTCCCCAAGAGCATGCCATACAGGCACATGGGGCTCTTTGATGGTGCTGCCTTTCAGAATAACCAGAATTTGAAAACTTGCCACGTAAACCATGCACTCTGCAATACTCTTCTCTCTGCTACCGTAATGGCTCTCTGGGTGCAAATGAATTTTCACTTAGCCAAGTCAAGCTTCTCTCCTAAGCTAGACACAGCCCCACGATTTTGAAGCAGAGGACAGAATGTAGCAAGAAGGGTATGGTTCTGCATAAGAAGGAGAGATGTATTCACTTTGTGTGGAGGGAGAGGGTGGTGGAGCGACGGTCATCCTCTAAGCAGGGGACAGAGGGACAGAGGTTGACTCTTGAGAAGCAATGGCCAGTCAGAAAACCATAAGCTGGAGATTTTGGTACATGGGGCTTTTCAAAGCAATAGTATCCATCCTTCAATTTTCTCACTTCCTTAGAGAAACCATTATAAGAACAAGATGTGGGGCTGGGAATGTGGCTTAGTGGTAGAGTGCTTGCCTAGCATGCACGAAACCCTTGGTTTGATTCCTCAGTACCATATACAAAGAAAAAGCTGGAAATTGCCCTGTGGCTGAAGTGGTAGAGTGCTAGCCTTAAGCAAAAGAGGCTCAGGGACAGAGCCTAGGCCCTGAGTTCAAGCCCAAGACTGGTTTAAAAAACAAAACACAAGACATTTACATATAGCATTCAGTTTCAAAATGTAACAGCAAACCAAGGTTTTGTTAAGTTTTGCTTTCAAAAGGTATCTGGGTCCATAAAATGACTCAGTTGAAAAAATATATTTATTTAAATTTATTTATACATATTTATATTTTCTAATATGATAAGATATAAAAATAAATAATTCATTATTAGTATAATATAATTATTAAATCAATAATACATAAGATTACATTATATTAAGTACTATAATCTAGAGTTGGATCAAAGGCCATGGGAAGACGTGCATACCTTACATGCAAATACTACACCATTTTATATTAAAAAGTGTTTGCACATTCTTGTGTTTTTGGAATCCACGGAGTCCTGGAACCAACCTCCTGCAGATACAGAAAGGCGACTGAATGTATGCATCTTCCCTTTGTGCTTTCTGGCTCTGATGAGCAACTGCCTCCTGCTCTCTGCTCCAGAATTGCTAGTGAGAGGATCACACACAATGGCCATGGCGGAGCTTTGTGTGGATTGGGAAGAAGGGTTGTGTCCACCATTGGGTCGATGTGGGGTGAAGACAACCAAGCTCCAGCAAACACAAGAAAGTGGTGCTGTACATTCAACAATGGGCGCAAAGGTGGAGGAGAATTCCAAGGCAGATACAGAGAGGGAAACTGGGTGTCCCACCATGCCTGGGAAGGGGGCTTTTATTTTGCTCAAAACTAGTGCTTTACCACTTGAGCCATGCCGTCAGCCCAGCTTTGGGCTGGTTCATTGGAGATGGAGTCTTTTAGACTTTTCTACCCAGCCAAATTGACTTCAAACTGAAATCCTCCAGATTTCAGCTTCCTGAGTAGCTAGGATCACAGGCATGAGCCACTGGCACCAGGCTCCAAGCAAATGTTGTATAAGCAAAAAGCTTAAGCATCCTACCCAGGACAAGGATGCTTAGTATCTCATGCTATTTGTTTTATCTTTCTCTATATGCTTTATCTTGTTTATTCCTTGTTTTCTTACTCACTGTTTTGTGGAAGCACTGGCATTTACAAGGTACCAGGTTAGTAAGTACTGTGTGTTTTTTACCTGTTTCCCCTGAGCCATTTGACTTGCATATTAAAAGGCAGGATCAGTGGTAAAAGCAGGTGGCCTTAGCCTTCAACATGAGAGTTGCAGAGAGGAATATGGAAAGGCCCTCACTCCACCAGGACCATCCTGCTCCTAGTAAGCTCTATTCTGGAATGTGGAAATGGCTTCCTAGAGACAGTATCTCTCTCCCCACCCCGGCCCCTGCCTTTCGCAGGGCTCTCTGTGTCCTCTTTTCTTGAGTCTGTTTTGACTATGTCATTCTGAAACTTCTGCTTGCTGCTTCCTTTCCATGCTCCCTTTTCCATATCTGAAAGCATTGTCATGTTTTGGCAAACGGAACTTGGAAGAGTGTGTCAGGGTAGCAGAGAGAGATAAAAAACTGTCTCAAATGCTGTGGAGCCCAGAGCAAACCAGAGGCCAGTTTGGATGAAGGCTGTGTTGGACCAGCCTGATAGTCTCCACCTTCCCGAGTATCCTGCCCAGCCACGTGTATCCTTCTGTATGTCCTGATACTGCCTCTTAGGCCTCCCTCAGGATTTCTATCTTTCACAGTCTTTGTGGATTTCTCTCTCCTCCTCCTCCCTCCTCCTCCTCCCTCTTCCTCCCTCCTCCTCCTCCTCTTCCTTCTGCTTCCAGTCCTGGGGTTGAACTCAGGACCTGGGGACTCTCCATGAACTTCTTTTGATCAAGGCTAGCATTCTACTGTGACACAATTGAACCCAGGGTTTCATGCATGCTAGGCAAGCACTAAGCCACCTTCCCAGCCCCTCTGTCTGCTTTTATCTTTTCCAGTCTGCTTGTTTCTATGGCTTTCCTCCTCTTTCTCATCTTCCCCATACCCTCCTCATAGTCACACAATGTTGAACTTGGAGAAGCAGGAAGAGGATATGCCATTTGGCACTAAATGCTCTTTTGTTAAAGATGTTCTCATCTAGATGCCATCTGTGGGGCCTTTCAAAACAAAACAGAATGTGACTCTCAAGAATAATATTGGCAAAAATGCATGAAGTAAAGCACATAAACCACTCCGTAATTTTGTTTGTTTCCATTTGGGGGCAAGTGTTTGTGGCATAACTAGGTACAATTTCCCCCAGCAGGACACTTGATTTCCCACACTGCTCCTCTATTTCCACACACACTTCTTGAAAGGATGGGAGTCTGTGTCAGTGAAGGTGTCAGGAAGATGTGGGTGTGGTATTTCTAGAGGTCTGCTGAACAATCTGCTACCCATGCACCTGAGAGTGGTAAATGCTGGGTTGGCAGCATCTGGATTCAGTGCCATGTGACTTGTCCCCTGTTTTCCAAGAGGAATCTCAAGAGGGAGCCCTTTGTATTACAAGTGATGTTTGCTTGTTTGTATTCTGATGCTGAGGATGCAAAATCCAGGGCCAGTTATAGGCCACACCCAGCGGCATCCCCAGAGAGAACACTTTGTTAAGGCAAATTGCTTAGGTTCACTGCACATGGTGTTGCAGAAACATCATTTTTCAATTCAAAGCAATCAACATACATTGGGAACTCATCTATCCCCCTTCGTGCAAGGCCTGTACAGAGCATGCCCAGATGGCTTAGGATATCAGACACACAGGCAAGCAAAGACAGACATAGAGAAAGTGAGGAGACTTGGAGAATTGTTCCATTCCACAGGGGTGGGATGAGGCAAACAAGGTCTTGAAAAATGTAAAGGACTTTGTGCCAAAGGGAGACAAGGACTGGAGATGTAGCTTCAGTGGTAGAACAGTTGCCTAGCAAGCACAAGGCCCTGAGTTCAAACCTCAGTATTGCCAAAACAGTGGAGGGAAGAGGGTAGCAAGAGACACATGCTGGGGACCACATACAAGAGTGAGTGCAGACTGGACTATTCCAGGGTGGTGGAAATTACAGCTAAATCTACAGCATGGAGCTCTTGGGAGGGAGGTTGGGGGTCTTTCTGGGAACCTGAGGAGCTTTTACTAGGTAACAAGAACCACTAATGTTTCCTCTGCTCTGTGTTCAGTGCAGAGTGGCACTCAAAGGCCCATGTACAGGATGGACCTGGGAGATGCTATGGGCCTTTGAAGGCTCTTAGGTCATTGGGAGTACTGACACCAGGGCTGGTCCTATTGCTCTGTACTTCCTGGCTGGTAGTTTAGCATTTGTTTTATCACATGCTGCACCGTGATATGCTATGGTTGCCAGAGGCCCCAGAACCACCCATGGACTTCCAAAACCATGAACCAAAACAGCCCTTCTTCCCTTTCCATGTTGACTATCCCAGACATTTCTTCATAGGCAAGGGGACGGGG